TTTTTTTCAGGTCTGATTTTCGCTATTGCTTAAATAGCGCTATCTACTGCGAGGATCGTGCATCATACGTATCTAATACCGCAGTTCAAAATATATGAACTTCATATATTTCACTGTATCTGATTTATCACTTTCACGGCTTTATTACGAATCAACCTAACGACCTGCTCCCAGTTGGCTTGTTAGCTCAATTGGTAAGAGCGCTGCACTAGTATCGCAGAGGTCAGTGGTTTGAATCCCGTACAGGCCTGATTTTTTTTTTCAGGTCTGATTTTCGCTATTGCTTAAATAGCGCTATCTACTGCGAGGATCGTGCATCATACGTATCTAATACCGCAGTTCAAAATATATGAACTTCATATATTTCATTGTATCTGATTTATCACTTTCACGGGTTTATTACGAATCAACCTAACGACCTGCTCCCAGTTGGCTTGTTAGCTCAATTGGTAAGAGCGCTGCACTAGTATCGCAGAGGTCAGTGGTTTGAATCCCGTACAGGCCTGATTTTTTTTTTCAGGTCTGATTTTCGCTATTGCTTAAATAGCGCTATCTACTGCGAGGATCGTGCATCATACGTAATACAAACTTTATTGACACTCCCTAAAGAGGGTTTTTTGGTGACAATGATCTAAAAATTACAAAATTACAATACTAAAATGTATAATAGAAAAATTAAGGAAGCTAAAATGTTAATAAATGTTCACCAAAGTTACAACTAAGAGCGATGAGAAAGGAAAGCAGCAAGTAAATTGGCTCCAAGTTTACGCTTAAAATCACAAGAAGAATTACAGAGTTTAAGGGTATTATCTAAACTTTTCCATAGACTTACTGTACGATAAAAGAAAGTCCTTTGTCCAGATTTAGTTTTATATAAGGGTATATGCAGAAGTTGGAATCTTCTGGTAGTGCGACCACTTATCTCACCACCTGTTAGAAACTTTGAGGAGAGAAGTAGGAGCGGAGCCGGTCATACATTTAACAGCAAGTATGGTGTCAGGGAGATGTAGCTGAGATTTAATAGGTAGCCAGAGCAGTTCTCTCAGAAGCGGAATCATGTGGTCAAATTTTCTGAGACCACAGATAATCAACACAACTTATTGATGTAGCAAAGGCTTGGATCTGCACCTTTGATTGGGAGTCCTGTTCACCAATTAACTACTTTTTCTTCTGACTGTAGAAATAAATCAATTCTTTATATATCAAATTAACCTTACCAAATTTTGCATTCTGTTTCAGTGCGCTTAGGACTTCGCCATCCTGATCCAGTGGTGGAAACAAGGTAATTGATCTATGCTGCTTTGCGTGGATGTATCTGAAAAGCTCTTCTTAATTAGATGTGCACTAGCAACTCTAGTACAGGCAGACACAGGAAACCATGAAAACTTTTATAATTTCATATCAATAATTCAGTAGAGTAGCAGCGAATCATAAAAAGTTTGACACAGAAGGAAACCTGTGGTTTAGTTGTCTAAGGGCTGATTGACTTTTTTCTTGGAACACAATAACATTTTGAAAATACATGTACATCTACCGGTATGTATGTGTTCATGGTTTTCTGCATATCCAAGTAAAAGTGGCACATATGGTATCCAAGTAAAAGTGGCACATTTAACGGCCTCCCGGTTAGCTCAATTGGTTGAGCGACGGACTGTTGTGCGGGAGGTCGTAAGTTCAAATCCAGCCGGACCAACACTCAGGCTCTTTAATTAACTGAGAAGAAAGTGCTTCCTTTGTAATAATATCTGCAAATGGTTAGACTTTCTAGTCTTCTCG